CACAACGCGATTTTTTGCATTCCTCCAGGAATGCTCTCTTACGTATCGCGCGGAGGATGAACGGGGTTCTGAGACTTTTCAGTATTCAACTGAGAGCATCACTGAATGATTTCCTACATAATACAGGGTGACCCACATGAAGTGTGACGCAGAAAATTAGCATCAAATTTATACAGATCAAACCAAATAGGAAACTATTACTCCTAAACAATCATCACAAAATTGTGAACAACATATCACATTTCGCATGCAGAATGACCATCCTTCGCTTTAATGCAAACCTCCAACCTCATTCGGATGTATTCATGAATGCGCGCAATCACTTTCATTCCACGCTTCTACAACAGAACTTTCTTTCAGAGGTTCCTAAGACATGCATTTGAATGCGCAGGCTTTTTGCTCCAGAATCGACCATACACCAAAGTCCAAAGGATTGAGATCGGGGAATTTGAAGGTCAAAACTGCTTCGCCCCAAAAACCCGGGAACGTGGTTTCACAACATTGCAGCATCTTCCTTACGCTGTGGGCTAGTGCCCAATCCTGTGGAATGTTCAGCTGACGTTCATAGCGTTCTTTTCCGCACAAGCGATCACCGCTTCCCCAGCCCAGAAGCCCATAAGTTGATTTTTTTATTGCCCGTCACACTTCATGTGGGTCACCCTGTAAGTTGAATCGTCCAGTGGACGAGTGTTTCTTTCCCTTCTACATTTTCACATTTCAGTTCCTAGACAGATGTTTTTTTGGACGAAAACGAGTCGGGAGCAGCGATGCGTGCTGAGGTGCCAGAAGCTGTCCGAAAGTTTCCCAGTTCGTCTGGGGAAGCTTGCTCCTCGTCCAAACCCTTTTTCTACATCTTTCCAATTTTGCAAAAGCATGCTTGAAGTTTACCTGTGGTTATGCAAAAACGCCGGTGGATCATCGATCCTGTGACTGCAGGTCCATACCCTTACCCACTGCGCTCACCCATCATAATTGCATGGGCGTAGGAGTCGGGTTATACGGTTTGCAACACAATTGAATATGCAATCCCGATTCACAGAGTTCCCTTTGTCAGCTCGTCTTGTATGCTTCCGCTACTGCTAACCTAAACCCATTTGTAATAGTCGAAATGGATCCAGTTCTATAACCCCAAAATTTCAAATCCGAAGCCATAGGTGCATTTGAGTGAAAAATGACTACGAAAGGCAGAGCAAGCTTTGGCTTTTGGTTGCCTTTGTTGAAGGCTCCACTCGCACACCACTGCCTTCAAAGCACCGTCGTGCAAGACGGGAAAATTGGGAACTCGATACTGAGCGACTGTGCACCCACAGTTGCGACCTTCCTTCCTTTCATGACCTTTCGACTTCCGCGTACTGTGGTTGAAAAATGGCCTATTTATTTTTAGACCAGGTGAGGGGCTACAAGCTGCTAATCTTAAATTTTCCGAAGAATCAAGGGATTTTTTGACAAGAACACTGCACATACATGATGGAGTTTCAGGACTGAAGCGTTATGATTTGCTAAGGAGATCGTAAGTGGGATGTCCTGAAATTCTCGAGTTTGGGCTTATGTATGGAATCCGCTGTGTTTCGGAATCTCACTTAATGCAAAGTTTGTTGACCCATTTTGCACGTATGGCCCAGGTTGAATGCGCTCTCATGCATGGGCTCAAGCACGAAAATGATAGTGTAACGCCGCGGATACGAACTCGTCACTTCTCAACTATTAGTCTGGACTCCTACCCGCTACACCGTGAGACCACAGTGCTTACGCTCGGCCGTCAGCTATTACAGTCTAACAATCACTTTGATAGCGGCTGAAGCCCACTTCGGCTTAACCGAGCTGTCCGATAGGCCGGCGGGCAATTCGGCTCAGGGAGTGGGCTCCCTCCAATGGAGGGGTGTGGGCTCGGTCCTGCG